AAAAAAAAATCAAGAACCGAGTGCGATGCAAAGGGTTGTTGACAATCTTTTGGCTGTTACCAAGGAGTAAGTTGTTTATTGCTTTTGATTTCACTTATTTGAAATGGTAAATTTTTTTGGTGTGTTTAAGGTAGAAATGTTGAATTTTGCTGATTATTATGATTTGATGTTGTAGTTAATTGCCTAGTTAGTTGCCAGATTTGGTTATGTGTGTAGACACACCTATGCTTGTATATGTATATGTTTACCTTGGTCTGCTCTGCTTCTCCAATTATGGTGGGTGTTGGCGGCGGTGGCTGTATTGGAGTGTTATTTTAGGTGCAAGATTAGGGCCCATGTATTGATTTAGCCTCTACTTTATTGGGGGACTTAGCAATGGTCCGATTATGTATCGGGGATTTATGGGTAAGCTACTTGTCGACGAATGTATAATGCAAGCATATATTATAGTAAACGTGCGAAATGGTGCTGCCGCCTTGTGCACCACATATCTGCAGAAGAAAGTGCATTTCGTAGTATTTAACATATGTAAATACAGATTTGAGAAGGTAACATTCATCACCTTGCTGAAGATTTTTTTTCCAAGTGTCTGCAGTTTTTTTGCATTTCTTAGTCAGAGATAGTTATCTCCTTTTCTAAATGATGCATCATCGTTTTTAGATTTTTTGTAACTTCCCTTTTGGGTTCAAATTGTCAGGTCTGTGAAGACATTCACTTATGAATCACTGAACAATGTTGTGAGATTAATAAATGGAGTTTCAGCAATGTTATTGGCTGTTTTGCCTGGGAAGGCTTCTATTCTGGAAGGTATTCATGGTTGGGAGCTCAGACCAACTTTTCGTGGGCCGAGACTTCCACGTTGGATGGAGAAGTAAGTTTATATATCTTACCCTTGTAGTACTTTTTGAGCATTGTCAGCATATATCTACTGAACTTTATGGTTGTTTCATTAACATTTGATATTAAAGAATGCGAAAGATGTACATGTTTTCATATGTGTAAAATATTGTTTGAGATTATGCTGATTGTAGGCCTTTTACACGTGCTGGCTATTACCACATTACTATATAATTTGATGATTGTTTGTCGGGATTGATTTATACTTGATTGGGCTATACTATATGTTGTGTACTGGAAAATGTTACATCACAGAGTGTATATCTGTGTTATTTTTTACTATATTTTAATTCCCCAGTCTTCTTAAAACATTTTTGTATCTCTTCCAATTCGTCTTTAAAGTATGTTATTTATCCTGCTAAACCAATTCACTTCCAAAATTGGTGCTCAACAAGAAATGTGGATTGTGATGTTTTATGCTTGATGTATGCAGTGGCGTATCATCTTTCAATCAGTTCATTCACGAGCTCTCTGTTGATTCTGATTCATCCTCAAGCGTAGATTATTCATCTGATGGAGAAGATAGTGGTATTTATCCCGGATCTCCTTTATCACAAAGTTCTCGTGTCTCGAGGGAAAGCAATTTCATCAAACTCAAAAGAACTTGGATATACTGGCTGAGATGTATACTGTCATGGATTCTGTTTCCTTTCAAATTGCTTTTTGGAGCCCCATATTATATATTTGCTTCGGCTTTCCATAAGGCTTCTAAAGACCCTGCTAAGACAGGAAACTGTCGTTCGGTTGCACATTCTCCTAGAAGGCTGCAATCTCTCAAGGACCATTTTGTTCAGCGAGCTACTGACCGTAGGCGTGGCATCGTTGAGGTATGACTCCATCTTCCTTCAATCCATTTTATATCTGGATGATGTTGGACCATGAACTATTTGTTGGGTGCTGAGAAGAAAATGCTGAAAATCAAAACAATTGTGAAATCTAAGGTCTTTCAATGGGTTTATGAATAACTCCACAAAAGTTTCTTCCCGTGAACCCTGAATTTGGATAGGTAATAATTTTTGATACCTTTGAATGTGGGTATGTGAATTTAAGTAAGGTATACATGCCTCCACACAGAGACATGTACAGGGACGAGTCAGGATGTGCAGATTGCATTTCTGTAGCTATACTATATAAGTCCCTGAAGAATCACATTTTTTCTTTTTCTTTTTCTTTTTTTCATTTTTTTTTTTAAAAAAAAAATAGGATCTCCACCTAGCAATTGAGGTGTTCATAGAATCCACATTTGATGTAGTTCACAAGGCTGCCCACTGTCTTTTAGCGCCTATAGACACCACCAGAAGAGTATTTCGGTGGTTTTCTTCACAAACAATTGCCCCTGGACAAGTTACTTCAGAGGGTTATGTCAAGACTTCTGTTCTAGCAGATGATGATCCAACTCCTGTTGAAAGAAAAACAAGCTTTCACAGTTCTCTCAATACAGATGCTCGGACATGTAAAGATGTAATTACAGAACTTGGGTATGGTTTAATTTTCTTATCTTCTCCCATACTCTTAATGGACTGTAAAGTGTAACATTGCGTTGCTATGTTGATGTGGGAATATGCTTTAAATTTATATGCTTACAAAGTTGAAGGTATTTTTGTTTTTGGTTGGTGGTTTGAATCAAATGAAATTAATTGTCAGGCAAAACTTCTGCTTCTCATGATTAGCTCTAGTTGTGAATTGAGTGGTTTATGATCTGGGGTGTTGTTTTAATCAATGTCAGGCAATAACCATTACTCTAGGAGTTGATTTCTTAATTATCATCATGCACCTTCAAGCTAGTAATTAATCTTTATTGCTCACTTATGCATCAACCTCTGTTTATGACTACTCAGAAGGGCTTTTAACTCGCGATTCTGTTGTAGGTATCCTTATGAAGCTATACGTGTCGTTACATCTGATGGTTATGTACTTCTTCTAGAAAGGATCCCAAGGTTTGTACTGCTAGTTCTCTTTTGGCATAATCTCTTGTTGAAGCTCTGCTGATGCTGAACAAATTGTTAATGATGGTCTGTATTCGTGTGCGTTGCTTATAGGAGAGAATCACGGAAAGTTGTTTATCTGCAGCATGGAATATTAGACTCATCTATGGGGTAAGTCATATTTGACCACTTTCGGTACTGATGTGATACTGCTTGATAGTTGTTGATTTATTTGTAAAGGCAATATTGACGAATGATCTCTTCACAAGGCCATCTACTGTAAAATCCTTTTGGATTCTATCACGTATGACCGTCCTTCAGTGATTGGCAGTCCTAACACATGTGACATTTTTTGAATATAAATGCCACTTCATACATCACATTTTGGATACATTAAATTTTTAGATTATACTCACAGGCTGCCTTTTAAAGACGCCCCACCATTTCTTAAGATGGAAATGAGGGTGCAAATTGGATGACCTAGTCTTTAAACGATAACTGAAGCAATTTTTTCCACAGGAAACATTTAGTAATTAAATTTTGCTCTCATGAGATGTATAGAGCTTATGTAATTTTACATAAAATGTTCAATTTAGATTTACTTCTTGCAGCCAACTCCGTCTTTAATTTCTTGATTGCATTATTTATATACTGGTAATCGGCAAGAGTACTTGAAGTCCTGTTATTATTTGGTTATTGATTTATTTTTAATAACTTTATTTCATTATACTCCTCTTCTTAACGCACTTCCCGTTTTACAGTTGGGTATCCAATGGAGTTGTTGGTTCTCCAGCTTTTGCGGCCTTTGATCAAGGTTCTAACCTTCGTTCTCTGTTACTTATATGCAGTCCGCATTGGGCCATGTATTATTTGACTCGTGGATTTTGTAAAATAGTTTCTTCCACCTATTTCAGGTTATGATGTTTTCCTTGGGAACTTCCGTGGGTTAGTCTCAAGGGAACATGTCGACAAAAATATCTCATCCCGTCAGTAAGTAACTAAGTGTCTAACATTTCAATATTTAGCCAGATACCTGAGATGACTTTACTCCTATATCTAGAAACTGAAGGGACAGGCAACTTGGTGCTCCTTTACTTTATGTTAACAACAAATAACATCTTAAAAACATTGAGCTAAAGCTCTAGTTAGTATTTGTTAATTTTCTTCATATATGTTGGTGAAAATGATGATCCATTGCAGTATATGTACAAACATTTCCATCAAGATTTGTTTCACACATTAGGCTCTTGTAATTAATGTTGGAATTACTTCCCCTTTCAGATACTGGAACTACTCGATCAACGAGCACGGCACCAAGGACATACCCGCGATGATCGACAAGATACACGAGATCAAAACCTCTGAGCTGGGCCCGGCCCAGCCCGGCCCCAACGGGCCGAACCCCCAGCCCTACAAGCTCTGCACCATCTGCCACAGCCTCGGTGGGGCCGCTATCCTCATGTACGTTGTGACCCGCCGTCCCCACCGCCTCTCGC